TGCCTCCATTTGTTGAAACAGCAACAAGATGCAAGAAGCAGGAGCGCGGTTGAATATTAATTCACAATTTTTTTTTGTTGTTATTCATGCTCAGTACATAAAAAATATTTTTGCTTTTATCAGTAATCGGCACAACGCAAGTGGGTTAATCAAGCTTTCTCACCAAGCATAGCTTACAATGTTCCAAAGTTCATCATTGGTTTGAAAAACATATTTAGTTGCATGCGGCGATGTGGAGTTTGCCCGCTCCCCCATCATTTTTCGATCTTTCTGATGCCATGTATCGCATGGTAACAGTAAAAGATTATATACACGTATTGATCAGTACAACAACTATTTAGAAAATAATTTACTTTTATCTGTCTATTTAGAAAACAAGTTGTTTATTGCAGCTGCACAAGCCAAATCTACATTCTCTATGTTTATTTATAATATTTGCATACATACATATGTACATATATATTTTGTTTAAATGAATGTTAATACATTTCTATATACATATGTATGTATGAGTATTTAATTATTTTATCTATGCATCTTTTTCCACTTGCCCACATTGCGTTTCGGTTCATACTAGCTGATGCAAAGCTCTGGTACTTTCGAGTAAATACGGAGGCTCGTTTTCAAATTTAATCCGGTTTTGTTTCTCGTATATGATAGTAAGTAACACGTCGCATACGAGAGACACGCCCCTCACAACAAGTTACACTATTTATAAACGGTACTATCTGACTATCATACATATTTGTATGTATGTTTGTACGTATATACAAAAATCAAAGTGATAAGCTCACCACAGTGATAAAGCCGGAAGAACTTGTTTTTATTATTAAAAACTTTTGTTTTTGTTTTCAAATTTTTTAAGCTTATCAAAAAGTGTTTTTTAACCATTTTACTTGATAACATACATAGATATACACCAATGTGTGTTATGTGGTTTTGGAATATCTCCCAGTATTATCGTATATACACACATACATATATAATATTATATATATTTATGTAGAAATACATATTTACTTGCCACTGCAGCTCTGCATATATTTAAGTTCGTCTGTGGACAAACTTCAGACACAGTTGGTTTTTAGTTGGCAGCGTTAAAGGCGGTGTGCGCATATTTAAGAAAGAAAGGTAAATTTTTTTTAAAGAAAAATAGTTTTTTTTTTTAATTCAAGTGTTGAGAATAAATTATAAAAAATAGCAGATAATAAAAAAACTTGCAAAAATTACATCTTAAATATTAAAATAATAAAAAAATGAAAAAATAAAAAATAAAAAAATAAAAAAGATAAAATGTATTTAAGTAAAATGGTTGAAATTTCTAGAGCATCTCATTGGCGCTTCGTTTTAAGGATAATTTAAAATTTTTTATTATTGATTTTTGTGAAATTGTATTTCCTGAAAATAGCCGATTTCAATGGAAACACATAACCTGAAAGGTATTAAAGAAGGCTGGCTTTCGATCACTTCAAACGCGGTTCAGATTAAAGAGCTACCAGCGACTTAAGAAACCGTTGCATATTTTTTTATTGCGCTTTTAAGGGGGAAACCTGGTTTAGAGCGTCAAAAAATCGATTTTTTAAATTCGATTAGAAATAAATTCAAAAATATTTCCACAAAATAGTCAAATTCCTAATCCTTCCACAGTGTCTTTCTGTTTTGTGCACACGATTGAAAAAGTTGTATTTGTCGCATTTTCATAAGTGATACCTTTTTTTACTATGTGAACCTAAAAAATCACAATAAAAAAATTTAACGTTTTTCAATAAATTATCTTAAAATTTCTTCAGAAAAACGTAAAATTTTTTATAAATAGTCATACAATAAATAATTTTATACATTTCTTCGAATATCTTCGGTTCACATAGAAGATCAACTCCTAAGCTACAAAAAAAGTCTTCGTTTTTATGTTTCAGATGAAAACTACGATCGCTGTCGTGTTCACAAAATAGACTCTACGAGCGAGAAGTGCCTCAAACGAATAATAATAAATATTGTTTTAGCTAAATTACAATTATCTTTTATCTAAATATGTTTTTTTTTAATTTTTTACATGTTTATAATTTTAATAAATTCATAAAGAGCGTTGTCCATTTTGCGGTTACGAAAAAAATATAAATAAATACATTAACTCCTTTTTTTTTATAAAGTTTGGACTTTCACATCATTTTATATGTGTAACACTACACCAATCAATTGAGCGCCTAGCGATATTTTGTTAACTTCGATTCGGTTAAGGTAACTTGTGAACACCTTTTGCCACATATCAGGCGGCATCTCAGCCATAACTTGACGACTGTTGGTTTTCAAGTGCTCAAGAGTCACAGGTTTATCCGCATAAATACGTTCTTTCGCGTAGTCCCACAAAAAATAATGTCCAAACGGAGTCAAATTTGACGATCTCAAGGGCCAATTTGATAACGCCAAGACGAGAAATTACGTGGCCGAGAAAATTTCTTTGAGAACAAGGCCAAATTCAGTCGTGTTCACCTCCGAATTGATAGTGACAGTCTCGCCGTTGTCGTCGTCTTCAAGCAAGTAAATTGTTTTTGAATCCTGACCAAAAAGCGAGGCTCGAATAGTACTATTTTTTCGGGTGTTATGATCGCTCTTCAATTATTTTAGTGTTCTAGCAGCGCCAAATCCGACAATTTGCATTATTGATATAATATATTTTAATTAAAGTTCAAACAGTGAGAAATGCAAATTTCGCAATTATTTTGTCAAAAAATGTAGAGCTCGTAGTTTGGAAAGCAACCCTACATGTACAAATATTCATACATATATATTTTAATAAGTTCTGCTGATAAGGTTTAATGATCGTCCGAAAATTTAAAATCGTTTTTTCTTGTTTTTGACATTTTTAATTAAATCATAAGCAATTAATAAAATGATAAATTTCCACTGTATTTTTTTTTCTTGGCAAATTCCATTCAATAGGAAAAGTACTAAATAATTTAGAAACAGCTTATACATACATGTATGTATACATATGTACATACATACATATGTAGGTATATGCATATGATTACTTTGACTTTTTCTCAACAGTTATTGTATTTAATTGAAAACTTTGCTTTCTCACGTGACAGCGAAATTTTTATTTTGTACTGCTTTTTTGAACTTTAATTAAAAATTATTTGCTGTTCTTAATTGTCTTATTAAAAATGAAGAACAACTACATACATAAAGTATATTACTATTTTACAAGTTTCCTTGACTGGTCCCTTTTCTTTTCCAATGCCATAAATTCTCACTTATTTAAAGTTGAGATTTCTTTTTCCTTGCGACAAAAATTAAAGCCGAAAAATGTTAGCGTTAATTTCACCATTTCTCAAATGTTAAAAATGATATTCATTCTCTGACCTGAGAAACGTAATCACATTCGCCCAGAGATGCTTAACAAAAGCAACGACATCACTACGTTTCGCTAACAAGAAAAATGAACTCAACGAAACGAAATCGTTAATATTGAAACTACACAAACTCTTCATTAATGTTAATTTTAAAACGGCTGCTTACTCTAATATTAACAGTTCACTGCTATTTTAACCTAACATTATATGTTAACGTTTAACATTATCAGTTAATGACTTAACATTATCTGTTAACGGGTTAACATTATCAGTTAATGACTTAACATTATCTGTTAACGGGTTAACATTATCAGTTAATGACGTAACATTATTTGTCAACGGGTTAACATTATCAGTTAATGATTTAACATTATCTGTTAAAGAGTTAACATTATCTGTTAACGTTTAACATTATCAGTTACTGATTTAACATTAACATTATCCGTTATGGACTTAACATTATCGACAGCTTTTCGTTTCGGTTAAAAACGAAAAAAAATTTACATTGATAACAGCTTTAACGTTATTATTTCCAAATGTTTCCACCGAAATGAACGAAATTTTTCTTTTAAAGCGAAATTTATCGTTCCGATGTAGCCTTGTATACACCGCTTCGAATATATTCAATGTCAAGCGAGTCAATAATGCAGTTTACAAACGCCTACGCGGAAAATACCTTATGTTCCCAAAACTGTCGTGAATATATGAAAAAGTAATAGTCTATAGTGAGGAGTATACATTCATACACATATGTATACATTCATTGAAAACATTTATACATACATATGTGTACATACATACATATAGGTAAATAAGCAAATAAATCACACTGCTTGGGAATCACGCGTTTTTATAAGAACAAAAACAAAAAACTTCATATCTACCGATACATTTCAGATCAAATCGAAAGTATAGCAACAAAAAATTTCAACAACGAACAAAATGTTGCAACATTTTCAGCTAAACAAACACAAAATGTGGAGCAAAGTCAAGCAACATGTTTTGCTGCCAATTTGACCTTCGTCAATGTCGGCTTCATATGTGCATGTATTTAGTCAAGTGAGAGCGTGTAGCGTGCTTCTGCTATACACATGCCCTCACCATGGTGAAGGGGATAACCAAGGCATTTTGTAGTGCGTATTGTGCTGGTTTTGTAGAATCGGAGGCAATCGGTTTTGTCTCTATCACAAAAATCGAGCGTATAGAGAATGAAATGTTTTTTTTTTATTGCTTTTACACTAGAGCGCATGTTCACATTTGTATGTACATATGTAAATAGTATTTAATGAAATTCTTGAGCCGGCGCTATAGCTCTGCTTGTCATTTTGACTGCTCTCAAACTAAGTCTTTGTGCAGAAAATTCACTTTCACTGTTCCACATAACCAGCAAGGTAGCCAGCCAAAAAGTGAAAGTCTTTTGTAGGACACTCTACATTGCCACGGTGAGATTTGAGGTGGCGTTATGACATTACCTATCACGCAACACTTTCTCTCTCTCTCTCTCTCTTCGCCCACAATCATATTACACCATTCTTAGGTGTTTGCTTATCATCAGCTCAGCGGAAAAGAAGGCCTGCCTGTCTACTCTCCCTATAAGCAGCTACACGCTCTGCGCTTTTTGTATGATTAACTAACAGCCTAAACGACTAATTGGCTGGGTGTTGTGCCTTACGTTGTTCCAGCACTCAAATTTTCCATTCAGTATCTGTGTAGTGCTTCAAGCGAATTGGTTGACATTTCTGAATCGGTGCGTGTAACAAATGAAAATAAATTGAAACATACATACATATAAAGGAGCGACTTATATATATATATAAAGAAAAATAATTGACGAAAATATAATGAATTAATTTGTATAGTTTTTGTGCAAAAATAATATTTTTTAATCTAATTAAACTTTACATTTTTAAACTGTCATTTTTATTTTTTTTTTTATTAAAATACCAAAGAAGTGGCAGAATGAGAATGAGTTTTTCAATATTCTTGCAAAGATTATTTGAGTGAAAATCGCTTGAAATTTATAGAAGGTCGTAGTGAAAAAATTCGAAACGAAATATGAATTTAAATTAATTATATATTTAAATGAGACCAATTAAATTTGTATTCAATGTGAATTTTTTTTTAATTTAGATTTTACATTTTCGAAGCACTCAAATTACGCTGTTGATTTTAGTTTTTTAAGTTTTGAAATATATTTTGGTAAAATTAATAATTTCAAATGAATTGGCTTAAAGTAAATTAAAGTTCTTTTAAACTTTAGCTTTTTCAGTAAGCAAAATTTCTTCAAATGCCTTGCGCTATCAGTATTTTTTCAATTATTTTTTTTTTTTTGTGTGTTCTCTGCACTTTGATTAACCTTTAAGAGTTCTTATCAACTGGTGCCGTCTTTAAGAATGCGGATTGTCATAAAAAAAAAATGATGAAAGAACCATAAAGAAAAACAATTATACAATTGTAAAATAGTCATACTTGGTTGTGTGTAATCCTCAATATGCTCGTTACCCACCTACATTTAATTACATTTATACATACATATATATGTACAAATATACAATTTTACTTATGTACATACGATATGTATTTTTTACGACGTCACTACTCGTGTCGTGTACTTTATCAATATCGCTATATGCGTACGCTAGCAACAATGTTGTGTTGCTTACAAAATATAGATACATACATATACATATGTACGTATGTATGTTAAATCAACATTTAGAAAATGTTGCACTGCATACATTTTTACACAAGCTTATGCACAAAGCACATTTGCCGCGATGTTGCCAATACAGGCTACTATGATGAGGGTCATGGGTTCAAGTTTCGACTTGACTATTACTCAAATGATGGAAAATATTTTTTAAATTTTTTTTTTCCAATTACGTCAGGATCAGTCAAACATTTCGAGTTTACTTTTGAAAGTGAAATTCATACGCTGTTCGGAAACTTTTTTGGCGAAACTATCAAATTAGACATTAGAAATAATTTATTTTTAAGCATAAACAGAAAAAGATTGTCCTTTATAAGCGCTTGGAATAATTAAAATAACTAAATTATTTACTATAAATAATAACATTATTTGAAAAAAGAAACCAACAACCACACTATTTTTCATCAACTAACATTTTTTTTTTAAATTTCTCTTTTTCTCTCTCTCTCACTCACTCTCTACAGACTTTTTCAACACCAAACCCAAAAACAAATCAACAAAATGACCACCTACTTCAACTACCCATCCAAGGAATTGCAGGAAGAGCTTAGCCGCATTGCGCGCGCTATTGTCGCTCCTGGCAAGGGTATTCTCGCTGCTGATGAATCCGTCTCTACCATGGGCAAACGTTTGCAGGATATTGGTGTTGAAAATACCGATGAACATCGTCGCCAATACCGTCAGCTGTTGTTCTCCACTGACCCAAAGGTCGCTGACAATATCTCTGGTGTTATTTTATTCCACGAAACCTTGTACCAGAAGGCTGATGATGGCACTCCATTCGTTGAGCTGTTGAAGAAGCGCGGCATCATTCCCGGCATTAAGGTCGATAAGGGTGTTGTGCCATTGTTCGGCTCCGAAGATGAGTGCACTACTCAGGGTAAGCGCAGCATTCGATTTTTTTTGATCGATTATTATTTTTATTGTGATTTTGAGGTAGAAAATTGAAAATAGTTATGTGGCTTGAGTGATTTGTTCTTGTCGAATTTGAATTGAAAAAAAAAATTAAGCATGATTTTCCGTTAATTGGACATCTTCCAAAATATTTATTTGATTAGTACCCACGAGCAGCTTTTCACTGGAGAGTCAAAAACCACTAAACATTACTTTCCATGAATATACATATATACAATGTGTACTCATCGCTTTTGTTTTCTCTTTTCCATCAAAGGTTTGGATGACTTGGCTGCCCGTTGCGCTCAATACAAGAAGGACGGTTGCGATTTCGCTAAGTGGCGTTGCGTCTTGAAAATCGGCAAGAACACACCATCCTACCAATCGATCTTGGAGAATGCTAATGTTTTGGCACGTTATGCCTCCATCTGTCAATCCCAACGTATTGTACCAATTGTTGAACCAGAAGTATTGCCCGATGGTGATCATGATTTGGAACGTGCACAAAAAGTTACCGAAACTGTATTGGCTGCTGTTTACAAGGCATTGAATGATCATCATGTCTACTTGGAGGGTACCTTATTGAAACCAAACATGGTGACAGCCGGTCAATCGTGCGCAAAGAAATACACACCCGATCAGGTTGCGCTCGCCACTGTCGAAGCTCTCCGCAGAACTGTACCAGCTGCTGTGCCCGGTAAATAATTAATAATAATAAATTTATCGATTTAGGTTTTTATTTTATTTATACATTTGGATGAATTTTAGGTATCACCTTCTTGTCTGGCGGTCAATCTGAGGAAGAGGCTTCCGTTCACTTGAACGCCATTAACAATGTGCCATTGTTGAAACCATGGGCTTTGACCTTCTCATACGGTCGTGCTCTGCAAGCTTCCGTCTTGCGCGCATGGGGCGGTAAGAAGGACAATGTTGGTGCTGGTCAAAATGAGCTTTTGAAACGCGCGAAGGTATGTGAATATTTTTTATTATTTTTATGGGAATATTCGTTGCTTTTTTTAGTGTAATTGTATTTGTAGCATGGAGTAAGCTAAGGGTTTATGTAGGCTATAAATTTGTTGGGTCATAACTTATTGCGGACGGTAATTGTTTGTTGAAAATTCGTTGAAAGTTCGTGAAGATTTATTTTCAAAAGAATCATTTTTTTTATAAAGTAATAAGTAGCGATTTTCAGCCGAGCTTCTCTGACATGAAAATTAAAGTTTCGCCAAAAAATCAATTGGTCCTTCGGTGGCGGTTTAGTATAAACTGTAGTTCCCTCCGTTCATCGGAAAAACAGCAAGAGGCTTACCTTCCACAAATCAGGAGGAGGAGGAGCTCGGATGAAAATCAAAATTAGATGTCGCTATAATCATGATTAAGTAATTAATTTTCAACCATTTAAAGTTTGATTTTAAAAAAATATCTTTATGTTGGAATTTGGTGGCAAATAATTATATTAAGTTTACTTATTTATATATATTGCTATAAACTGTAATTCAGTGATTGCTATGAAAGTGTTAATGATACATTTGTCAACACCGCAAGATTACAAGTCGTGAGTTTTCAACAATAATTTAGCATATATTTCCATTTATACCAGCTGAAATTATTGAGAAATTATTGGGTGCAGTAGGGTTATCACAATTCATGCGCCTAAGTGATCTCATTAAGAATATATTGTATATATATATAGATATATATATATTGTTAAATATATTGAGCATTATTTTTAGCTTTAAATTAGCTGGAATTAAGTATTTGAAACACAAATTTTTATTTCTTTGAAAAAATTACTAAAAGTCCAAAAAATTCTGGTTTTATATAAGCGGAAAATTTATTTTTTTATATTATTTTTGATTTTTTTCTAACAAAACCTAAAAATCAATTTGTTTAACTAACCATAAAAACCATACCTTAAGCCTGTATATTAATTAATAATAAATAATTAATAATAAATAATTAACAAAAAATAATTAGTAATAAATAATTAACAATAAATAATTAATAATAAATAATTAACAAAAAATAATTAACAAAAAATAATTATCAATAAATAATTAACAATAAATAATAAATAATAAATAATTAATAATAAATGAAAAATTAACACATAACTAAACTTTGGCGATCGCTTCACCTACATGCATATGCATGTGTTTTAAATATATTTTTTTTTGCATTTCTTACTCAAATTTTACTTGCTTAATTTGTGCTTTATTATAATATTTTAAATTTTTATATACAATATTATTCATCTTTCTGCAAACATAAACACACTACTTTTACTGCACACACACACACACACACACACACATGCTTGCAATACTCTTAATTGCTGTATCTACATTTTGTGCTGCACGTCTACCACACACGAAAAATATTGCTTGAAACAAATATGAAAACACAAACACATACTGAAATTCAGGCCAATGGACTCGCCTGCCAAGGAATATACGTAGCTGGCTCCATACCTTCCTTTGCGGCCAATGCCAGTTTATTCGTTGCATCGCACAAATATTAAAATATGATTTTGTTGTTAAATTAGATTAAAATTAAATATACACATATATACACAAATATATACAAAGTATAGAAAGATAAGTGTTAATGCTTACATATTATACTTATGTAAAAGCCGAGTAAACGGCAAAGCAAAGAAGCCGCACTCATACAAACACACACACACGCAAAATACGAATACCAATCAGCAACAAGCAGTTTATCATCTGATATAACAACAATGCAAGCTTTTTAGCTACTGAAATTTATGTGTTATTCTGTTATAAAGTGTAATTGCTAATAATTTGCATATAAACATATGTTTGTTTGTATTTTAAGTGCGTTCTTTTATATTTGTATGCTTTTGAAATGTTTTTAATGTAGATTTTGCATTTTTATTGCAATCCCTTTTATTAAATGTATAGTTTTTATACAGCAAATTAAGGAATTGATTTACTTTTACTATCATTTAATTAAGTTTTCTATTTTTTCATATTTAATTATATTTTAAAAAATAAAAAATTGTTTTTTATTTTATTTTATTTTTTATTTTGTTTATGCTATTTTATGCAATAATGTTGTTATACATATATATATGCAAATATATATAATTGTATGTATATATCTACCGTTATACCATATACTGTTGTGCTTCTTATTATTGTGTTTACTTTAAGATTTTTTTTTTTTGAGTTTTACTCAACTTTAGTTTGGGGGACGGCGCTTTTAGCCACTGCAAGTTCGTTCAACTAAAATAGAAGGTTTTCCATTAAGAGGTGTTATTTTGTTATTAAAAGACCAATGGCAGTTTTTAAGATAAATGATCAGATGTTTATTTCAATGTAAAGAGGAAGATTTGCCATTAATAATGCAAGATATGTTTGCAGGAAACGTAGCCATTTTAGAAAAATTTCCATCACCAAAGCGCAAAGTGGTTGCTGTATGCTCTCATTAGCTTAACGAATCCCATCTTTGAGGTTTTAAATTAACGCTGGCCAATTGGCGCGGATCTTATCTTTCACGTAGCCCCAAAGAAGAAAGTCGCAAGGTGTTAAATCACAAGATCTCGGTGTCCAATTGCGATTACCTCTTCGAGAGATAAAACGATCCGGAAAATTTTCCCTTAAAAGTTTGATGGTTACGTTGCTTGTGCGGCACGTTGAAAATAAATGCTGTTCAGGTTAATGCCAGCCAATTCCATTCACTGTAATAACTCCTGTTCTAGCTTCATTTACGAAAAAGTAAGGTCCAATGACACCGCCACAGCATAAACCGCACCAAACAGTTACACGTTGAGGACGAAGAAGCTATTCTACAATAAATCTTGGGTTTTCCGAGTCCTTGATGTTAAAGTTTTGCTTATTGACGTTGCCATCGAGGTGGAAATGGACCTCACCGGTCAAGATGATTTTTCGATGAAATTTTCATAGCGAATATTAATAATTTCAATGCGTTGTTGCAGCGTGTATCGTTCCATTTTTATTACTGTCGTAGTTTTTACTTGTTAAATGGCAAAAAATTAAGATCAAAAGTGTCATCTACCGGCATAGCAGGCTTTTGAAATTAACTCCTTTTATTGGAAAACCCTTTATGACATTTAAATTAAAATATTTATATAAATATACCAAAATTATGTAATCCTCAGTTGGAATACAGTTGACGGTTGTTAAAAAATCAACTGAAGCGAGCTTCTCCAATATTTCTAAACCATTTACGAGAAGCTTCTATTTCATGCCAGAAATACACTCGGAGCGGCAACCTTAATTCATTCTTTTAATTAAATTTTCATGCAAACAATTTTGGATTAAATTGGCATTGGACACCAACATATTCATGATAATAAAATATCAGCTTACTTTTAAAGTTGTATTTGCGGCTCCGGTTAGGTTTTGAGATAAGTCCGAGGGGTCATAAACAACACAAAGCACTTAACTATCGATATGCTCACATCAACAGTAGTAAGCTCGTTCCTACTAAGCAAGGTACTTAAACCCTAATGCCATATTTGGCACCATGTTTTAGCAATATTCCAACTGGGGAGATCAAGTGGAAGTAGAGCTGAAGGCGTTCTACAACTGGCTTGGTGAAAAATTGTTTTCTGGTAGCAAAAGCTAGACGGCGAACAGTTTTCAAATGGTTATAGTGTATGGGTCTCGAGTCCTAAAACGATCAATTTTTGAAGTTACAGAGAAATTTTGAGGTCACCCCTCGACAGGGAATGTTAATCGATCACCTGTTCGGAGTTGGCTTAGAATAAACTTTAGATCGCTGCATTTGTTGTTGTCGAAACGTTGTGTTATTGACAAAATTTGAGACACATCACGGACCCTAAGCGCCTATTGGAAACGAGAAGCTAGCTGGCTACCTATGAAAATTAAGTAGATCTGCCAAGTGCTAAAAGTGTTCCCGCTGTTAATTTAATCACAGCGCTGCCTATTTATATACCAAATTTCATTCAAATCGGCCGATTTTAAAGTAAACTCGATTTTTTCAAATAGGTCGGTTCTGGGTCCGCAACCTGGAAATGGCTTCAACTACCAGTCATTCAGCACAAAGCCTTTCCTCTTTCCCTCACTTCTGAGCTCGTCAAAAAAAACCCTGTTTCCTGGACCGCCCGTTAGATAATCTCGATAACTTAGGCTTGTTCCTAAGCGGCGTTAATGAATCGCTACGACAACAACAGCAACATCAAAGCTTTATATATACATATATATATGAAATAATATTAATTAATTTTAAGTTAGAGGTACATTCGCTAGCATAAATAAATTTGTTAAGTAATTAATTATAATATATTTTATTTATTATACGTAATCTGCAACGAAATTCTATTTTTTCGTAAATAATAATTTATTAGTAATTTTCATTATTAATTCCTTGCTTTCTTTCTTTCTTTCTTTCTTACAGGCCAACGGTGATTCTGCTGTGGGCAAATATGTTGCCGGTAGTGTGGTCGGTGCTGGTGCCGATGCTACCCTCTTCGTTGCCAACCATGCCTATTAAATGCTGACAACAACAACAACAAATAAAAGCACAAAATAGTAAATGGTGCAAGAATGCTATGAACTAGAGAGGATATACAGGCTTTCGTAAATAGTAATGAGAATGATTATTGTTTGAAATTTATTTATTAAGCAGAAAGTGACGAAAATTCAGCAATAGAAATTCAAATAAAATATAAATTAAAAAAAAAAACCAAACAGCAACAAATATCATTTAATTCGTATGTGAGGAATGAAGCCGGCGGAACAGTAGCGCTTGTAATGGTAAAAATTTGGTACGACGAAGGATACACCACGCTGCCTCTTCCCTCCCACCTGATATTAAAACGCAACAAAAACATTTCATGTATGACTTATGAACAACAACAATAATGAAAAGAGAAATATATATTAATTGTTTCCTACTACTGTTTCGGAGCGATTGATTAGAAAAACAAAAAACAAAAAAAAAAAAAATGGAGCAATTCCATTTATCAACACTCAGTTCATCATGGCTGCGGCGGCGAAGGCGCTAATAAATTAATTAAAGAAGAAATTATGAAATTGTATTGTTGCTGTTACAATAAACAAATTTATTATCATTATGTATATGTTTAAGTGAATATTTAGAAGAAATCAAGTTGAGAGTTGATACAAATTTAGACAAGATGAAATAAAAAATAATAAAAAAAAAATAAATAAAAATATATAAAACATTAAAAAACAATGCATGTGCTATTTCTTGCGACGAAAAACCAAAAAAAGAAAAAAAAATTAAAAAGAAATACAACAAATGTTGTTTCACAGTTACTATTTGTTTAAAAGTTAATAATAATAAATGCATTCAATACTTGCGTATATACTTAGATACAAGCTGTACATACAAACAAAGGATGTTTAGTTATTTGTGAGCGAAAATGACTCTTTTCTGAGATATTATTTAGCAATTTATTTGGTTGAAACTGTATTTTTAACAAAACCAAATCAAACACAAAAATTAATTTGTGTAAAATACCACATACCGACGATGATGACTTTTTTTATTATTAAAATGTTTGCTTTTTTATGACATACTTAATAAATTATCAATATACATACATACTCCAATACTCAGGTGCGTAACGATTTTATTAATTCAGTACGGTTGTACTCATAAAACAGAGTTGGAAAACATACATTGTCACAAGCGAAGGAAATGCTTTTATGCATTACATGCATATATAATATATAGGGTGTACCTAGGTTTGTGTGTATTTAATGATGCTTATGCATATTATGATTCAATGAAAAATCAAAATCTGAAGACTAAAAAGCTATTTTTTTCTGTTGAATTCAAATTCTGCGTTGACTTTGGGACACCCTATACTTATGTGTATGTATATGTGTATAGATTAGAAGTAAAAAAAAAACAATAAAGTATGTTGATATCAGTGCAAGTTTGTCTTGTTGTTGTTTTTTTTTTGTTTAATTTCCATTTAATGACTTCTAACTTAATTTTAATGTGAAAACTTTTGCGCCTAAAAGTATGTGAAATTTTTTTCTCTTAATGCGGTTGTTTTTGAAAATAAAAGCAACGGACCGCAGTTAGTTAGCGGGTCATAGGTCCGAATTCTAACAAGAGCAACCTTCCAAATTTTAAAAACTTTAATTAAAACAAGAAAAAGGAGCTGTCTTCCGAAGCCTTTCATGACAATATCAACCCTGCAGGCAAAAGTTAGATTAGTATGCAAAAATTCTATTTAAACACTAGTATTTTGAAGACGAAATCATATATCATACTAGTTTAAACCAGAATTTTACTAGTATTTAAAGACATAGATTGTAATTAAAATATTTTTTTTTACCTCTAGTGCGAACTGATATGAGCTAACCAGTATTTTGACTGGTATTTAACTAGTATAAAGCTGATGCATAGTATGACGCGTACATAGTTACCGTTTTAGGCGTTCGAAGGGGGCTGACAATCAATTGCAGAGCACTGCGCTTGCGATCCGTCCTTCACACATCATCCGTGGTCCGCAACATATCAGCTTAGGTTCCGCAAAGTGTGCAGACAGCAACCACACTTAATACCATAAACAACCTGATAATCCATGACCTTAAAAAAGAACACTGTCCTTTGGTGAACTGCACGGAAATTAAAAGAAATACCCACGAAACCCTCGGCTGCTTACTGGCCTCCAAAGGAGTATCGGCTTGTGCTGCATGTAAAAGAAGACAACCTGGATATTCCGGCAATGACCAACAACAATTTACTGTGAGTGATATTCGATAGCTTCACATCGCCTACGACTGCGATTACCAACAAAGTACAATGCTGCAACTAAATCTGTACATCGTTAGCCGACCGCGCCCGGGTTAAAGCTTAAGAGCCATTGCTCGTAGCAATACAATGGTATCGGCTGGCGGGTTATAAATAACACTGCGTTGATTTGAATACCGGAGAGTAGCAAGACGCAGATATATCGTCTCCTGATACTACCGGTGCACCACTTTCACTGTGAAGAGTCTTTGTGCCTATTTTGAACACCTCGGCCGGTACAATCCTTATTGGAGCTTCATCTAAACCAGGTAATGGAACATTTATTTGATCGTCGACTCTTGTTCGAGTTCACTGCTATTAAGCTCGCTGTAAAAATGCTCTCTCGGTATAAGCTCAGTATGCTGCTAACGGCGATCTTTAGTTAAACTTTTCTTTTCTACATCTAGGTATATGCTCCGGCACTTAAAACCTTCAACCCTCTTTGACTCTCGGCATTCCTCCCAAATGCCAACTGTTGTGGCGCAAAACAGTCTTCTTCCTCTTAATAGCATATTTCGGCTTGAGCAATCTCAACTTACTTTTCCCATTCACATTTTCTTGAATTCCTCGCGATTTTTATTGGCCGTGACCTTGACGATGACAGCGCCGTCTTTTAAGCCCTTAAGAATTCACTTTTCAACTAACTCATTTATACAAGTGCCACACACAAGCATACTTACACATTTGTCTGATATTCAATATTTTCCCAGAAGGTTCGCAATCCATTGTATGCGTCTTTATCAATTAAAAGCCAGGCAATATTTGCTAAGGCGCTGCATGAAAGTAAGTGGCAATGAGAAGAGAATATAAATAACAATCGGACGCGGACACGCCTGTCATTTTAACCTAAGCACACACCCACGTACGCTGAACGAGTCTTGAAACGGAAGCGGATGCCAATCGAAGGAAAGACACTGCGAAGGCTACGCACATTCGTATGATGGATAGAAAGAAAAAATAAATTTAAAATGAAGCTCGATACATAAAGGGTGGTTTTTAAGAGTCCTGGTTTTTAATACCTTTTTCGGAGTTGGTTTTTTCATATATTCATAACAGACCTACTCAGGAACAACCCTTGGGCATCGTGCTAATTTATTAATAATGGTTCGCTTCAAATGCTTGGGACGACATAATCGCACAGCGGAGTCGGTAATTTGAGAAACCAAAGATCAACTTTGCGCCTCGTTTACTCTAGTGAATAATACGCATATCCACATAGACACAGTTCGGACCGTGTGCACACCGAAGGTGTTATTGTAACTGTGAAGTAGAATAATGGAGTAATTGCAAATGGGTGCAACCGCCTTAGCAAACAACAATTGGAGCTGTGCCCATTCACGGAAAGGAAGATTTTGCGAAAGGATCTTGGTTTGCTTGTTTACAAAATCCAACTCGTGGAAGATTTAAAATCGAACTACAATCAAGCGCGTTGCACGTTCGATGCATAGGCCGAAACGGGATGGCCTCAGATCCAAATTTTTACCAGTAAATTTTTTTCAGCGTTAATGGATTTATTGGTGCACATTTTTTTTTTTTTTCAAATTTGAAGTCGTCAATAATGCTGCACTGATTGGTGGAACGTTATAGAGCATCGAATAGGAGCGTGTTGATATGGACGTCCTTTGGTTCCAACAAGATGGCGCTATATGCCATACTCAGTAAGACGTGAGCTCGATGTGGGCCTGGGGTGTGGCCTACAAAATCGTGAGTTAATACCGCTGAACTATTTTTATTGGAAGAGATGGGATACTGCAGACATACAGACACAATTGTTGCTAAAAATAGTCGAAAATTGGGTCTCTCAGCTTTTCAAATTTCAGTATAATTCTATATTGCCACAAATGAATCTTTGCTAATATTGATTTTGAGCACGATTGGCCGTTTACTTTGTTATCCGGCTTCAAATGTTGTCAATCAATTCTAGTTGTCGCACCGGATTCACCTCTTTATTTCTTCTATCGACTGCTTATAAGGGACTCGGAGCGGTTATTTGAGTTCTGGATAGCGAAAAAAGTCTGCCGGTCGGCCATATTAGGTGAAGGTGGTGGTTGTTCTCTTGTGGTTGTTGAGTTTTTGAGTGTACGTTCTAAAGAATGTAAACATAAGTTTTCAAAATAAAAGAACTCTCCAAACAAAATTAGGTCAACATAGTAATTCAGGTCATGAGCGGAAATTTCCGAAAATTTCGCCTCGAAAACTCTATACAAATTAATTAATTCCGATTGATTTTCATTTTTAATTATATACAAAAAGCCACACAAGTGACCACATACGTACATAAATCTGAAAATACGGTGAGTATTTCATAGACACTGCGAATCGCGACCATTTAGTAGCCAACTCTTATTGACAGGCATCTTCTGCCAAAAAAAATTTATTCACCATCTGTGGTTGGCTGACATTGCCGCATACGGCGTATAGGTTTACACGCGCACCTACCGCTAAGATTATGAGTTGTATTTGATATACCCTTCATGAAAAAATGTTATAGCTTCGATCCAAAGTGAGTGTGTGCTCTGAAAAAAGTTGGGTTAGAGCTCCAAGCAATGAGCTTAAATTAAATTAATTTTATGAAAAATGCTTAGTGTAATAAAAGGTAGAAAAATTTAATTATTAGAAATGTGAGTGGTATAGAAAATTATAATATTTACTATTTTAAGTTTTATGATTTAAAAAGGAGTTTTAAATTTTATCAACGAATTTCTAAAAAATTTATTTATTAATAAATTCCCGCATTTCTACAAAATTAATTTATTAATAGACTATTTTAGTTTCTCTTTCTGAAGGGTATGCGCTATTTACACGTAGCGTGGCCGACGACAGCGTGTCTTTCTTGTTTTATTCTTAGAGACACACAAAAATGTATTTTTGGCGACGTGTCATGATCGTGAGCTATGTATATGTAAACGATCACTCACATACACAGGCATATACATACAAACATATATATATGAAATTAAAATTAAATATTTCCTTGTCAAAATCTTTGGCAAATCGCCAAAAAAAGATTTTTTCAGTTTTATTTTCTTTTATAAAATTTTTTAATTTATTTATTTTTAATTTTTTTTTAATTGTTTGTTTTATTATTATACAGCTGCAAGTTTTTTTTTGTAGATACATATACAATTTTATTTGTTTATAATCAAACGTGAAAACAGCAATGACATTCGATTTAATTCCTGCCATATTCAAGTACAGGACAGCATGTAAATGAAGAAGACTTTGTGTTTTAAAAAATATAGGGTTATCCATTTCGTAGCCTCTAAAGTACAGACAGTCTGGTTTTAGTCTGGTATTTAGGAAAAAAGATCGCTTGAAAACCGCTCCAGGCGTTAAAATTGTTAAAACCCACTAAGAAAATGGTGATTCAAA